GCGTACGTGCGAAGTGCCAAGTGCGCCTCTAAAGCGCCCAATGCGTACTTTGCGACGTGCGCGTGCCGGGACCGGGACCGGGTTCGGGTCCGGGGAATGGTGCTAGTGGTGCGAAGCACCACTCTAGTGGTGACTAGCCTTTGACTAGTTTGCTAGCCTTTGGCTAGCTAAAGTTAGCCAAGTGGTAGGTAACATATTAAATTATATATTATTTACACAACCCACTATATAAACAAGACTATTTTCTTGTAAACTTTCGATGTGGGACTCCTTTCCATATAAAAACCACTTAAAATGGGCTTGTCAACATATGGGCCTATATTGGAGGCTTTTCCAATTCACTTAAATTAATTGCAATGACCCATATCATTAAATATTACATTTAATATTTTAAACCCAAATCAAATTCAATTAATTCCAACACATTTTTGTTTCTAGTATTTAACCCTTTAAGCATCTTGTTAGTAGCGTTTGACGGTCTGTGTTATCCAAATTCAATTCTGTTTATTGCAGTTGATTTATGTTAGAAATACTATTGAATAATCGATAAAGTTCCTCTTGCAATTTTAAATAGAGGTTTGACCTTTTAACTTGGGAACACAACCATAGAGCATAGGAGGTTTAAAGACATACATCTATCACACAATTCATGTCTCCATTTCACCCAACTAACTTGAATTTTATGCAGTATATCCTCTTCAATTCCCGCTTCTTCCTTAGACCTAGATAACTGTCATTTATGGGGACAGCACGATGCTCTATAATAACTCCATTATAATAGAATACTTTGAGTTTGTTTCATTCTGAACCGTATGATTAAGATAATGTAATCAATCTCATTCATTTCATTTATATAATTTTTGGTGTCTAATAGGTTTCTTGATAAAGCATTGCTTGCACCTGATGGTTCAGGGGAAAATTTTAGTACCACTGAGATTGAAGAGGCAAAGGCAGTTCTTAGGCTTGTTCCAATATGGACTACATGTTTGGGATATGCTATAGTGTTTCCACAAGTTCCAACTTTATTCACTAAGCAAGGAGTTACGATGGATCGCTCCATCACGCCTAGCTTACAAATACCAGCTGCTTCACTTCAATCTTCTATGAGCATTGCCGTTGTTCTCTTTATTCCTATCTATGACCAGATTTTGGTTCCTATTGCAAGAGCTATAACCAGGAAACCCTCAGGCATAACAATGCTTCAACGAATCGGAACTGGAGGATTTTTATCTTTTCTTTCCATGGTAATTGCAGGTTTTGTCGAGAGGGAACGTCTGAAAACTGCTGTCGAATATGGGCTGGTGGACATGCCTAAGGAAATAGTGCCGATGAGTGTGGGGTGGCTGCTACCTCAATACTTAATTTTAGGAATTGCAGATGTGTTTACCATAGTTGGTCTCCAAGAATTCTTCTACGACCAGGTTCCAAATGAGCTGAAAAGCATCGGTCTTGCTTTATTCCTTAGCATATTTGGCATAGGGAGCTTCTTGAGCAGTTTTCTCATCTCTATGGTGGAGAAAGCCACCAGTGGCCCTGGGCGAGACAGTTGGTTTTCGGACAACCTTAATCGGGCTCATCTTGACTACTTTTATTGGTTGCTGGCCGCACTTAGTGCTGCTTCATTCGCTGCGTACTTGTACTGTGCAAAATCTTATATCTATAATAGAAGATACAGACTTTGAATGGAGATAGCACCAGTTGCCCAGGTTGAGACGATTTTCAAATCGACTACTAAGTCTTGGTGCCGCCGCTTTCGCTATCTGCTTGTTCTCTGCAAATTCTTATATATGACAAACGAAAGTCTTTAAAGTTACATAGAAACACTGCCAGGACAAATATGGCTAGTAGAAGAAATATTGTGCCATACATTTTACTTGTATGTAAAAATTGTTCATTTGTGGTCGGTCTCACCTACATGCAAATGCATGACCAGAGATTTTATTCACAGGGATCAACTTATATTTGCTGGGGTAAATTTCATTGGCAGTAAATGTACTTTCACTCCAATATCAATAAGTTAATACTTAGATTTCATTCAATTGACTAACTAGACTTTGATTTAATTGCAATTAATGTAACTCCACCACGTTCTATAACTTATAATGACTGATATCACTACTAACGGCCTACGTAAGGTCAGGGCCGAGGCTAGGTGCTCAAAGATCACAAGGCCTTACTAGGCTCAGGAGGTTAGTGTGTATACAAGTTGACTAAGCAATGAGCAATGAGCAATGAGCCAAATATTATACCATGATGAGCAAGATCATATGCTGAGATCCATTATCAATGAGCCCCCATATGTGTGTGAATCAGGCTATCATCCCAATAAGAGTCACTTGCCATTACCCCTAATGGGAAAGAAAGCGATTTGACGTGTGACATTTAAATCATTGTTTCTTAGTCATGAAAATGTTTGTCCAAACTAATAGCATGTTTGTCTCTCATTATAGAAGAAATTATAGAGTTTTGAATAGTATTTTTAGAAAGATGTGTGGTTAAAATTTAAAGACACTTCATTAGCTTGTATGCAGAATATTTTATTATATGAATGTGTGGTGAAAAATATTACTATAGCAAATAATTTAATTTGTTAAAGGATGACAAGTAGGGGTTAAGAACCCCTCTATAATGACATTCATAAATTGTATACCCATATATGGTTCAGTTATAAATGTATTTTTTAATTTAAGTTAAAATCAACATTTAATTTTAGTTATATATTTCATGAAATTTCCAACTTTTCAATCACACATTCTATCAATTTTTATCGAAATTTACTAAAAATCTAATTTTTATTTACACCAAATATTGGCCTATAAAGTTAAGAGGAAAAATGACATAAACGACACTAAAATGAGAACGCTATTCAAAGCACTAACTGTTGCATGTATGTCACGTGGAACGACTACGATAGTGAATGACTGCAAATATCATTATTCCACTAAAATAGGCCACTTATGATTTAAAACTAAGTTTGGGATCCTCTCTCGTAATTTCGATTGAACTAAGGGTCCGTTTGATTGTAATGATGAAATTTGGATGGAAAAAAATAAATTTCAAGGAATTGAATTGTCTAGAACTTATTTTACAGGGAATTGTCAATTAAATGTGCTTGATTGGTATAATTTTTCACCTAAAAAATGTTGAAATTTTGTATCTTTTGGTATTCTTTTGACTTTGTTTTTCATGAAAATTGTTAATTAAAGAAATAATTTTTTTTACAATTGTGTTTATAATTTGTTCACATTGTCAAAAAAAAAAAAAAAAAACCTGGAAATTGATTTTCCTCCCACAAATTCATGGAAAATGGGTCACGTGGGTGGGGGGAAGGGAATTCATTTTCCAAGTAAAATTTTGCTATCAAATACCATAAAATGGATGGAAAATGGAACTTTTCCATGGGATTTGGGCCTACCAAACAGGGCCTAATAAATAAGACCCTCATAATGGAACTTTTCTCATAAGTCATATCAGCTCTTTAAGTGTCTAAATTAGACGAAATGGAAAATTGCAGTAGCGGTTCTTAACCTTTTCAATTTTTGCGAACTTTATTTTAACATTCAATTTGTGCCAGCGAAAGTACCTAATTTTTAAGAAATATACGGCTGGTGTCAAAATGGATAAAAATTGTCCAATTGACTATTAGTTGATCAAAAAATTCAAAATCCGATCAATTTTGATCAAATTAAAAAGGGCAAAATGGTACTTTACAATTTTTTAATTAAAATAAGTTATTTAATTAAATTAAAAAACAAAAAAATAAATATATAACTTAATAATATATAAAACCCCCCACTCCACCCCACTTTCCAATCAAAACCTTTCTCCTTCCTTCTTCTCCGACAGAACGCCACCGCCACCGTAATAGAATTTTCCCATCGCAAAAGGAAAGTGTTATATGTACATAATTGTCTACATAATGGTGTCCATAATTACACGTGGCACTAGATCCAATCTTTAATTCAAATCTCATACTTGCACGTCAGTAACCGGATGATTGTCACATCACATTATGGACACTATTATGTGCAATAATTATGTACAAGTAGAATTTTCCATCGCAAAAACTAGAACACAGAATTGAAAGAAATCAACAAACCCCACAAAGATATCCATTCAATTGCCTTTGATTGAAAGCACAATTCCAATAATGGCACAGAAATATCAAAGCTAGCAATGTCGACACCATCGCCACTTGGCCAGCCACAACAACCCATCTCACACAAATTGGATAGTAAATCGTCGTCGCCACCACCATCAAATCAAAACCAATCGCCTCCAACACCATCAAACCTACACGCAAAACCAAAAATCCCACCCTACCTTTTCTCTATAAACTGATTTGGGGGTGAAAAAGTGCCGGACGGGCGTAAGATTTGTATTTCAAAGAGGACACCATTGCTACCTTCTAAGCCTAAAAATGGAGCTTTTCGCTGGCCAGAAGCACAACAAGTTACTCGCTACTTGTCTGTCATTCTCCGACTCGGGATCTTGTAATCGAAATGATGTAGGCAATAATACAGCGTTGTCCTCAAATGCGGAGAAGATGCTGGTGGTGTCGTTGGGAGGCTTCGCCGACGATGGCGTAGGCAATGCTCGACATGGTGTTGTCGATTTCATAGGGGTGGGAGAAATGGATAACCCATTTTTATTTTTATTTCTTGTTTTTTAGTTTTTTTATTTTTAATATGGTAATTGTAAAGTTACCATTTTGTCCTTTTTAATTTGGTCAAAAATTGATCAAATTTTGACTTTTTTTGGTCAACTAATGGTTAATTGGATGGTTTCCGTCCATTTGAATCCCAGTCGCATATTTTTGAAAGGTTAAGGACATTCGCTGACACAAATTGAAGGTTAGGGTAAACTTTGCAAAAATTGAAAAGGTTAGGGACTGCTGCTGCAATTTTCCCTAAAATTCATAAACTATCATAGCATTTAACGTGTGATTTACAGTCAATTAGAGAGTTGGTGAAGATAAATAAATTTCTTTTCATTAAAAATGATGTGGTTTCAACTAAAACATCCAAATTAAATGGCCCACAAGTAAGAAAAATGAAGTTCTCTTACAGTGATGCCAAGACATTGAATGATTCACTTAGACTAACAATGAGAAGAAATCAAGTTTAAATGTTTCTAGATTCACTTGTAATACCATATATGAAATTTAATCACTTATAGATTCTATGGAATATGTGAATAACAAATGAGTAGTAAGCTACGAATCTTACGAAATGTATAAATAAAAAGTATGTTCAATCAACTTAAATTATAATTTTAAGTTATGCGAAAGATGCACTAAATTAAACTTAAAAGAATGTAAACTTATCTAGAACTAATTTTTTCTTTCTTTCGAGCGCCAAAATCAAATAAATATAATATACTTCTCATTACGATAGACACGAAATGTTATCACAAATGGTAATAATTTACATACATACATACATACATACTTCCATATAGGGCTATAAAATGGGTCATGCTCGGCCAGTTGCGGACTCATGTCGAACTTGACACTAGCTGCATGTTTTAACCTAGAATATGATAAAAAAAAAAAAAAAAAAAAAATTAGGAGCAAATTAAATAAATCTTCTCTATAGTTTATAAAAATTATAGAGTCACGCCCTCTTTCATAGAAATTTTGAAACCTCCCTTGAGGTTTATTTTTTGTAACAAATTTCAATTTCACATTTTACCCTTCTGTTCTATTTTAAAACTATTATAACATTATATTTAAATCATATATTTTCTTTTTGTTATTTCTTAAGATATATTTTTCATACTTGTCATTAGATGAAAATTATTTTAGTTAAAAACATACCATTATAAATTTTATAATAAAATTTATAAATTTGTTAAATAAGATTACTTTTTCAAATACAATTTGATAAATAATTAACAAATCCAAATAAATGAATATTTTAGAATAATTGACAAAGCTAGTTGAGAATTTTAATAACATTAATATTGTTATAAATTTATGAATTTAGTAAATAATATTTTTTCAAATAATTAACAAATCAACATAAATGAGTATTTTAGAATAATTTAACAAAGTTAAAAAATCTTTAAATATTTTATATTGCTTGATTTAGTAGCATTTGTCCAATATTTGTATTTTTTATGATCTTTACATTTATATTCTAAGTTTAGAAAATTAAAGTAATATTATCGTAATATTAAAAAAAAAAGTTGGCATCAAAATTTTTAATCTTAGATCCTTTTTAGTTAATCTTTTATTAAATATGTTAGATTAAATTTAGAGTGTGTTTGTGCTCCTTTAATTTTGAAAAAATATATTATGAAATAGTAGATTGATTGAAAATGTGTAATCAGAAAAGAATGAAAAGTTTTTTGCTTGAGTGTAATATTATTTTAATAAAAAATGTAGGGTTAAAATTAGTACTGTAAAAAAAAATAATGTGATAGAATGTAAAATAATGGGTGACCAATAAAAGCTTAATTTGTCCATTAAATAAAATTAATAATCACAACAATATGATTAAAATAAAATAATGTCATACTAAAAGGCAAAATTAAAATTAAAATAATTTAGTTTTCTAAATTCTTCAAATTTGCAGGTGATTTTTCTTGATTATAAATCGAGAAAATGATTAGTTAGGTCGATGCCACCACACATTACTCTCTAGAAACTCATCATCGTGGCCAGGTCTCAACGGCAATTTAGGTTGACAAACATGACTAATTATGGAACCTAATCTCCCCCAAAATCGCATACATTGTTCAGGCCCCTCCCA